GTGTAGGCTGTTGCCATTGTGGTAACCTCATTGTGGTAACCATTGATCATAACCTCTATTAAAAGATTAAATGAGATAACATATATATATGACTTATATTCACTTAAAGAAAATAAAAACACTTTAAAATGATTTCTTCTTATAAGTGTAAAAGATAAAATCAAAGACAAAAAATAGAAATGAATATTTCACCAGGGTTACCTCTACAATGGGCATGTCTTCTCTTGTAGACATATTTTAAGGGGGGTATTATGTATTTTCCAGGCACATACAGTAGTTCAGTTCTATACCACAATCAAGTAACTACTGTATGTTACCTTCAGTTATGAAAATGCTTGTATGAATTAAAAAAATAAATTTGATTTTTCATTATAGTCTATCTAAGCACCTTGAAATTGGCCTCTGTCTCTTTAAGAACCACCCATACTGTTTCTGACTCTCCCACTTCAGCACATCTTCACAAAAGTGTTTTCGGGGAGGGGTGAGAGCTTGGCCTGAGCTCCAGGGAGGAGCTATGTAAAAATAGGCGGAGCTTTGTACCAGCAAGTGTTCAGGCAGATCTGCATGACTACCACAGGAGATTCAAGGATTTCTTAAACATGCAGGAATGACTCAAAGCAACACTCTGGGTGTGTTTTTGATGAGAAAACAACATTTAACATGATACAAAACTCAAGTAAATTTTGCATAATACACCCCCTTAATTTGTTTCTGCGCCACTATATAGTCATAAACCCCTCCATCAGATTAAAATGGACTGCTCTGGGAGCTGGAGGGGTGCAGGGGGTAAAGTGCCTAGACTGGATTTAAAGAGACAGCACCAAGATGAGTTGATCTGAGACACAGCTCAGAAAAATGGTGAAAAGAGGGCTCGTTGAGTTATAATAAACAGGATTTCAGACCAAAGCATTGCAGTTCCACTTTCTATAGAGCCCAAGTGAATGTTTTAAATGTAAAAAAAGAAAGAATTTAAAGCAGGATATGTCTCCTTTAACTCTGCACTTAACACAAACTATCAGCTGCTTGAATATTACTTGGACCACCTTCAGCTTTAGCTACAGTCCACAGTTCCATCTCCATGCACACTAATCACTTTTCAGATCATTGTGGTACATCTGCAGAGACTACAGAATAGAAAAGATCCATCTTTAATGTTAGAGTTTCAGGCCTGTTTGGCATGTGTACCACTCTGGCAGCTGTTTGTGTACAAATCAAAGACAGAGAGTTGATGAAGCCTGCTCCTGAACAGGATGAGTGCATACTCCAGTAATCAGCAAACGTCAGTTTTTTTAAATGCTGATCCCACAAGTGTCTCTGTTATTAACAATGGAGTCACTGGAAAGAAAGGCTAAAATGATTTAATGTGAAGATTAGGAATGATTCATAAAGACTTCTGAGAGCTGTGAACTTAGTGTCGAATGACTTGGGTCTTTTCCAAGAGCTTGTTTTGTGTTACACTGAGTCCTCCTGAAATTTTAGAAGGTGTTTGATCTGCTGTTCTCTATGTGGCCTGGACCCTTTCTATGTCCTTGGCATATCAAATGGTGCAACAATGGCATGCAATCGCTCTGGCCTTGACTTCCATTTGAAAATTATTTGTCTGGCAGTAGAAGACCCCTTATGATGCACAACAATTTTGGATCTGGCGTTCCCTCGCCCGGACGCGGGTCACCGGGGCCCCCCTCTGGAGCCAGGCCGGGAGGTGGGGCACGATGGCGAGCGCCTGGTGGCCGGGCTTTCACCCACGGAGCCCAGCCGGGCTCAGCCCGAAAAGGAGACGTAGGTCGCCCTTCCAACGGACTCACAACCTGTAGGAGGGGCCAAAGGGGTCGGGTGCAGTGTGT